CATTGTAAATTAATTGATGATGTTAAATTAAATCAAACAAAATATAAATACAATGCTTACATATACACTGATGGCTGGCATGGTTCTTGTACATAGCTGGTCCACAGTCTTCAACACACTGTGTACCAAGTAGCAATAACGGTGAAAAGCATTCTGTACATGACATTGGACCATTACAAGATAGACACTTACTATCACAGGCTGTAATAGATTCCACATAATACATTATTTAGCGACATTGCTAAAGATTATTAAGCATTAATGGAAGTTTGAGCTTGGTATGTTACTTAGGAGTACCCTGTAGAAACTTGGGGCAATAGCAAAAATGAAAACAAAAATTGGTACAGAAAAAAAACATGGGGAAAAAACCTGCAGGGATCAATAAGAGAAAAAGAAATTCTGCATGCCTTAATATTAGGGACAAAATATTTTATACAGTTGCATTTTCATCCTATTAATGCATATTTGCATCTTATTAGCATGCTATTTGCATGTTATTTGCGTGTTATTTACATGTTACTTGCATGTTATTAGCATGTTATTTACATGTTATTAGCATATTATTAGCATGTTATTTACATGTTATTAGCATGTTATTAGCATGTTATTTGCATGCTATTTACATGTTATTTGCATGTTATTTGCATGCTATTTACATGTTATTTGCATGTTATTTGCATGTTATTAGCATGTTATTTGCATGCTATTTACATGTTATTTGCATGTTATTTGCATGCTATTTACATGTTATTTGCATGTTATTTGCATGTTATTTGTGTGCTATTTGAATGCTTTTAGCGTGCTATTTGCATGTTGCTGGCATAAACATACATGTATGCCACTTAACATAATATACATGTACACATTTCCTTATTTGGTGCCACAAAAGGGCATTTTCACTCAGGACTACAAATGTACATGGATTCAAAAAATACATAAACTGATAAAAATATGTAAACTACAGGCTATATAACTGTGGAAAATCACCTCTACACTGCTGATCAAGTTGATAGTGTCCTGGTGTACAATCTGCCACACATGAACCATTCTGTAATAAGACACCATCCATACAGTGTATGCAGTCAAACGATGTTGGGCCAACACATGAATTACAACTCCAATCACATTCTACGTGGAAGAGAATATAAAACAAAAATAAAATTTAGTTCATATATTACTATAATTTAAGGTTTATTTATGTCTGAGTGCACCAGACAGTGAAGGTATTGTCCGAGATGCATAGCATTGATGATAATACAGAAGTGTATGATGTACGGTGACATAAATGTTTTAATAACCATATTGTTATATATCCTTCCAAACAGATATTTAGACGGCATGTATTGCTTTCTATTAGTGTTTGTCACCTGTCAGTGACGTTTTCAAGCTCTGAACAAACGAGTGACACACATGCACACTCTACTGATGTAAATTCTCATTGTACTCTATTGGAGAACTTGATTGGACCCCGAGATAGGTCTGTAACCACTCTCTCATGCTTTTCATAAGAGCAAAATACCTGTCTGGCACATGTATTTCTAGGAGTATTATTGCATGTATTAGCGACTGATGATGATGAGATGTGATCAACTTTGAAGATCACCACTGGAATACTGCTAACGTGGAAATTGTCGATAAACACTGTTGAAATTTCCTTGTTCAAATGACATTACGTGATAGAGTCAATCATTTTTGGATTTTGAATATGAAAATATATTTTCGAATGAAAGTTCTTTACTGTATTTACCTTTGCATTCCCTAGTGAGTGGGTCAGCATAAAACTGTTGAGCACACTGACTAACACATTCTCCAAACTGTACAACATACAATGGATCTCTGCAAATGATACAGTCAAAAGGTCCGCTACACACCAAACAGTTAGATGAACATTCTGGAAATAAAATAGGTTTCAAAGTGGATTATAAAAAAAAAAATCAGAGATTTTGTTACTATTGAGTAATGCAATAAATATGTCTAAACACTTTCTGGAAAATAGGTCTAAATTAATACTTGGTTACATGTTAAATTATAATTGTGAACATCACCCTCTTCAGATAGGTATCAAATACCACATTATGTGGAATATGAGCTCATTAACACCTTAATTTTGTTTGTGGCAGAAATTAATGAAGTATCTAAGAACTGGACATGACAATTATGACATCAAACTAAACATAGTGAACTGTCTTTGAGTTAAATTTCATATAAATTATATCAAAATGCCTGATTCAGAATTATTCTTTTGGTGGACAAATAAACAATTCATGCTTACCTCTGCAGATGCCATTATCACTATAGTAACCATCATAGCAGCTACGTAGACACGTTCCTCTGTGGGATAAAACATCACCATGGTTACAAGAGGTGCAGCCGGAACTGCCGCTTTGAATACACGTCACACATGAACTGTGACACTCTGAAAATAATTGTGAGAGAAAGAATGTATTCATGAATTACATGCATTTCTGAATCAGGTCATAGGGTAAAAGGTCATAGGTTAAACTTTTTTACTTGGATATACATGTAACCCACAATGGATTCTCTAAGTCTGGAAAACGATCATTGACATTGTAGACCCACTCCACTTCAGTCAATTTCTGTTGTTTCAAAAGTCATTGTTGCGTAGTGGATAGACATGAATAAATGGTAAAAATGTGAAAATTTTAAAAACATTACAAATTAATATTTTGCAGAGTGAAAGGTTATACCAAATATGTTATGGAAAACAAATAAAATCAATGATGAAAAT